TATTTTGAATATAATAATAGCTTCTTATGTTGAAGGTGTTCTTGTTTCTTTAGTAAGTCTAATCCAAGTTTTTTTGAAAATAGTATTTCTCTGTGGAACTGGAAATCAAGAAATTATTAACTTTAAAAAGGCCCAGTAAAGCTCATTCCTGAAAGGCATTGTAGAATACAAGCATTTTTCTTGTGGTGTTGTTTATTTTATTTTATTTAGTTTTCTAGTCTGGCCAATTCTCCTTTTATGTGTCATGCCCTCATAGCCACACTTCCGACATAACAGGAGTGTGTCTACGGCTCCCTGTAGGTGGCGCTGCAGTCCTGCAAGAATAATAGAGCCACCAACAGGTCTCCATTATGGTTCACCCAGGTACTGATTTAAGATTCCTTCCGAAGATGGAAAAACCAGTGGGAAAGAAACTGGTTAAGTGGAAGCAATAATGAGCAAAAAAAGAGAAAATCTACTGAACAAACCTGGAAATTAATATAGACATGTACAAGCCTCTTTAAATATGACATTAAATCACCCTCAACTCCTAAAGCTGTCGCTTTATCCTTCCCAAGGCCCCTAGCAAACCTGATTTACACAGTGAAAAAGAGTGGCACAGGGAGATGCAAACTGGCTTCCTCAGCTGACTCTTCGGTGTTGTAGTAATAACATGAAGACATAAACCTGTGTGGTAAGACAATCCATCACACAGGCCCTGTAAGAAAATTTTATTTGACAAATAACAGAACTAATTCACAGAACTTAAATATTCAAAACTGGCGAAGAATAAGCGCACAAGAAAAGAAATATATGTATGTACTAATTCAGTGGGAGCTGTAAATTCATGCCGTGGAAGCAGAGGAGAGTCCAACTTTTGACAGGCTTGAAGCAGCAGAATGTGTAGCTGTGACCTACAGCAGGGATCTAGAACTCCAGCTCCCTGGTCTCTGCAGAGCCAGTCTCCTGCTGTAGGGTACTGACCTGCATGTTGTAAGAAGTTTAACAACATCTCCAGTCTCCACACAATAGCATTTGCCCAATGACAGCACCTGGAAGACTTCATATGAAGTGTAATAAGCCAGGCACAGGAACACACATGAGTCCTATATGATCTCATTTATTCAGGGGAATATATTCAAAACAAAACAAAACAACAACAACAACAAAAAAAAAAAACGTTAAGCTGTAGAAGAAAAATGAAGAAAAAAAAAAGAAGAGCTTCTATCATACCCTTATAGATGCACAACAATTACCTGTGATTTACAAAGGACAGCTTTTTAATCTTCTTGCTTATAATTCAATAGGAAATATTATTTGATAATTCTGTAAAATCGTCTTGTTCACCTTTTCTTCCTCGATCCCTCAGTTTGTAAAAAGCAAAACACCATCTCCAGACATTTTGAAATGCCTCCAGGAGGACAAAATTGCCCTTGATTGAGAGTTTGTGGTCTATAGTAGTTGAGTTTTTATATACAGAGGAGAAATTATTTTGAAGTGCTCCTTCTTGTAAAAAATGCTGTTTGTTTTCTAAGAAATGAATGTTCCAGAGGATCTAGAAATTCTTAGCCTTTGTTAACATGAACATGGCAATCCAACCCTATGTCTTGAATATACCCTGTCATGAACACATTGTCTCCACTACATTTTAAAAAATATTTTATTTTATAATTAATTTAATTTTACATATCAGCCACAGATTCCCCTGTCCTCCCTCCTCCCACCCACCAGCCTTCCCCCCTAATGTAGCCCCCATTCCCACCTCCTCCAAGGCAAGGTCTCCCCTGGGGATTCAGCTCAGCCTGGTAGATTCAGTTGAGGCAGGTCCAGTTCCCTCCTCCCTACACCAAGGCTGAGCAAAATGTCTCAGCATAGGCCCTAGGTTCCAAAAAGCCAGCTCATGCACTAAGGACAGGTCCTGGTCCCATTGCCTGGGGGCTTCCTAAATAGTTCAAGCTAATTAACTGTCTCACTTATCCAGAGGGCCTGATCCAGTTCCATGGGGGCTTGTTGGCTATTGGTTCATAGTTCATGTGTTTCCGCTAGTTTAGCTATTTGTCCCTGTGCTTTTTCCAATCATGGTCTCGATATCTCTTGCTCATATAATCCCTCCTCTCTCTCTCGCTGATTGGACTCCTGGAGCTCCACCTGGGGCTTGGCTATGGATTTCTGCATCTGCTTCCATCAGTCACTGGATGAGAGTTCTATCATGACAGTTAGGATGTTTGGACATCTGATCACCAGAGTAGGTCAGTTCGGACTTTCTCTCAACCATTGCCAGTAGTCTATTGTGGAGGTATCTTGGTGGATTTTCGGACACCTCTCTAGCACTCTGTTTCTTCTTATTCCCATGGGGTCTTTATTTATTATGGTGTCTCTACTACATTTAAAGAATGATATTATTCTGTAAAAAAAAAAAAAGCCTATGGTTCTTTCAAGTTTTATCAGACACTCCAGTGGTAGTGGCATTCCCACAAAATAAAAGTATCTAATTTTAGAATTTTTTTTTGTTTTTTTTTTTTTTGCTGCACTCTAGTGTAGTCTTCAAACAGAGATTAATGACCATGCCAGGCTCTTTTAGGATGTAATTTCAAATGACATTGGAGCCACCCAATCTGGCCTTCAACTTGAAGGAGACTAGCCAGTCTGAACAGGAGAAAAACACACTGTCCTTGGAGTTTAGATACTTAAAGGAACTAGCAATATGAAACATGAAATTGCATCAGATGCCTAGGGAGGTCTAGTAATCTTCAGTTCTGTCAACCATGTGGAAGCAGTGGCTCAGGGGTGGTTAAGCAGTGTGCTCAAAATTATGCAGTAAGAGTGCCAGGACCAGAGCCCAGGTGTCTAGGACACCCTACCCTGGCTTCCTCATCACACTTTCTTGTGTTAACAGGGAAGCATGGCATTTCATGGCTCCACACTTAGTGAATCTCTGCGTTTGAATTCAGTATCTTGAGTACAGAACATGCTGGCTTTCTTAGGTATAATGTCAAAATATTTAAAACTATACTACCTATAATTTTATACCTATTATTCAGTCTTTCCCATACTCTAGTAAATATTATTCTACTTTCTTTTTTTTTTTAACTTCAACAACATTAATGGTTTTAGACTTCACAAATGTATGAGATAATGTAGGTCATGGAGGGCTCATTTGTGTTTTTGTGCCTGGCTTATTGCATTTTATATGGAGTCCTTCTGTGGTAGTTTGAATGTAATTGGCCCCCATGAGCTCATAAGAAGTGGCAGTATTAGAAGGTGTGGCTTTGTTGGAGTAGATAAGGCCTTGTTAGAGGAAGTATATCACTGTAGGGGCAGGCTTTGAGGTCTCTTTTGCTTAAGCTTAGCTTTTGCTTGAGTTTAACTCAGGGTCACAGCCATTTCCTGTTGCCTCCAAGATGTAGGACTCTCAGCTCCTTCTCCAGCACCATGTCAGCCTACACACTGCCATGCTCCCCACCATGTTGATAATGGGCTGAACCTCTGAAACCACAAGGGAACCACCCCAATTAATATTTTACTCTATAAGAGTTACCTTGGTTGCCAGTCGATGGTGGTGCACGTCTTTAATCCCAGCACTCGGGAGGCAGAGCCAGGTGGATCTCTGTGAGTTTGAGGCCAGCCTGGTCTACAGAGCAAGATCCAGGACAGACACCAAAACTACACAGAGAAACCC